CAGGGTGGACAGGTAAGACCCACTGAGGAGAAAATTTAAGCGGTCCTGCACTGGCCTGCACCCGAGACTCGTAAGCAGCTCCAACGTTTTCTGGGCTTTGCAAACTTCTACCGCAGGTTTATCCACAACTACAGCCAAACTGCTCTTCCTCTGACCGCCCTGACCTCTTCCAAGGTTCCCTTTGTCTGAGGTGGAAGCAGCCTTTTCTTGTCTAAAGAAGCTTTTTGCTAATGCTCCTGCTCTAACCCAACCAGATCTTTCCAGACAATTTGTGGTGGAGGTAGACATCTCGGATTCTGGAGTTTGAGTTGTCCTCTCCCAAGTTTCCGGTACCGACAACAAGTTACACCCCTGTGCCTTTTTCTCTCGCAGACTCACTCCCGCGGAGAGAAATTGCAACGTTGGATATCGTGAACTTTTGGCCATAAAATTGGCACTGGAAGAATGGAGACACTGGCTAGAGGGAGCCACACATCCGGTTCAAGTTTCACAAAAACCTCTCTTATATCCAATCCTCCAAAAGACTCAACCCCCACCAATCCCATGTGTGTTTGTCTTCCTTCCTCCACCAGGTGGTGCCTGGTTCTGAAGATCCAAACCTCTGGTTTGGATACACTTTCCCCCCGAGGAATCGTTTGAGCTTCACACTGAGCAAGGGATTCATCTGCACCACAGTCCATTCAAGTACCGCAGGAAAACTGAGTGGCAGTCAGTGTTCTCCGTTCATCTACAAGCAACCGCATTCTGGGTAACCCTGTCCGCCCTCCACCGTATGAGACAAACACCGGAACACATTCCTCACCTACTCGAGTCTAAGAGTCAACCAATTCTCTGGAAATGTGAGTCCTCCTACCTTTCCTCTTCAAGTTCGAGAATCAATTTTCCCACTGAACCTGAACTAACCGCAGTGTCTTCCCCTCACCTTTCAGTTCCAGTTGAGCAGTGTTCAGAGCAACACGGGAATCTCCACAAAACTTCTCAATAAAACCTGTTAAACTTTTCCCATTGTCTCTCTGGATTGGTTTATCTGCATGTGGGTCCGAGCTCTAGACAAAATCATGACAATAACTCTTATAGTTTTTTTTTCAACAAGCTGTTAAAGGGAAAATGTGTAACTTATTTGGCTTTTAATTAGCAAAAATCAAGTATTGCTTTTATAAATACGTTCCTCCAAACTCTAACTCATCACACTGCTAAGCAGAATCATCACTGGAAATCGTGTGATAAGGTAGGGTACCTAGTAATTTTATGAATGTCTGAAGTTTTATGATTATGGATGCGATCTGCTCATGTGCTCTTTGTTATTTGAGGACTAAGCCAGAACAGAACCGCACCGAGCCCTAATGATGAACTAGTACCAGTTTAGTACAGTTCGGTTGTGTCTGGTACAGTCCAGTTCAGTTTTGCGTGCCATTTTACACTAAACAGTTACCTTGGTTACCGTGCTCAGACCGATCTCGGCACTGTTTTAAAAAGGTAGTGTAAATGGGGCTATAGAGGAAAAGGATTTTTTTCTCATTGCTAGATGGTAGTAAATCTTACAAACAAGGGCTTTAAAGTGCTGATGACATGATATTGACATTTTCTAGTATTTGTTGTAAACCAAAACAATAATACTGGTGACCAATGTCATAATTTTAAGGTTGCTCACACAGGGGTAGCCTTAAAAACGTAAAACTGCTGTCATTCATGGGACTCTAGCAATGCGCAGAGACTTGGGTAGAAATAGAGAGTAACATACAATATATAGGAACATCGGTTTTGTTAAGGCCAACTGCTCAAGTTTTCATGGATTAAGGGCTCATTATGCCTAATGGATAGACATTTTGCACAGTAAATGAGCCATCCGTCACAGCATCTGCAACATCTGTACTCTGGGGGCGTGTTCAGCACAAAGAGCACCACACTCAACGATACAATATTCATCACTGTTCATCGCCATTTAGCTTTTACTCTGAGCATGGAGCAGCCAACTTGCTTGGACTAGCAATGAAGGGCAGATCTGACAACCCTGGCAGTGAGGAGCGGATGGGAAAGAGAACCATGTTTACCCACATTGTGTTTTCTACTGGGGCTACTGGTCATACTAGCACCACACTCCGGCTCAGAGTGTGACGATGGGCTAGAGATCCGTTTTTGAGGGTTCCGACCTGACCTGACAACATTCCTACAATTTCGATATCCACTGTAGAAGGTTGAGCTAGCTCCTAAAGTTTGAAGACGTTTCACTTCCCATCCAGAAAGCTTTCTCAATTCATAATGTCTGGAGTAGCGTTGAGTTCCAGGCTCATAAAGCAGCCAAACAAAAGACTCGTTATGGCTTAGAAAATAAATGTATTTTCCCTTTGACATCACCACACAGATATAGGTGTTTACTAGCTATAAATGAGAAAACTGCTGTGGGGCTGGTAAATGTAGGATATTTTGTTTTAAAATTAAAGTCAATTGGATTCCTAATAAGTCAAAACCACCTGGTATGTCCTGCTCAGAGGTGTCAAGTAACGAAGTACAAATACTTAGTTACACTTTTTAGGTATCTATACTTTACTCTATTACTTCTTTTTCTTCCTACTTCTGACTTCTACTCATTGCATTTTCACACAAGTATCTGTACTTTCTATTCCTTACATTTTTAAAACAATCGTTACTCGTTACTATTGGCTTCGGTTTAATGTCGGTTTAATGTCCGGTGTTATGCCGAAAAAGTGCATGCCTGCTAAGATATGCATCCCCAGTCGCGTGGAGCGCGCCTTGCTCTGTAGAGCTGCGACTATCGACGAGGAAAACTGATTAAAATATAACCAATGAAGCTACTTGTTGTTATATTAATGATATAAAAACGTTTAAATATTCCTCTCGTGGGAAAAAGATTGTGCTTATTTGGCGGATTAGTTTACAAAAGTACAGGTGTTACGAACAATATTAAATCTAAAGATTTTGTCCGAGGTATGGCTGATTTATTTGTTGTAGTCTCTTGTTATTTAAACAGAACAATAAACAGTAATATCCGACGTGAGTTTGGAAACTGCAAAGCTTTGTCTTCAGCGGAAAATCAAACGTGCATCTGTACAGCACAGCGTTCACTTACCAGTGTGATGCATTCACGAGCGTCAGATAGCTATGGTGCATTCAGGAGCATAGGACATTTCACACTTACACGGAAAGAGACATACGGTAAACGGAACAGAACTTAACTCATACAATACTGTATTTCTTCAGAAACAGTGGGGGCTTTCTTACAATACTGAATGCTCTATAATTGTATTTCTGTTATTTTTTTATTATGCACATCTGCTAGCTTTTTATTCCAAAGAATCTATAATATTACAGCAGCAAATTATCAATGTTTTTCGAAAGCCTGTTTAAAAGCTCCAAATGAGGTTTCAGATCGTACAGCGACAATTGCGCTGTCATTGTTTTACAGGCAGAATTTGCATTTGCTGACCCTTGTCCTTTAACTACTGATATCCATCAGTCATACAATTGTCAACTCCTCTGAGATAACATGGGATGCAATTTTTGGCAATTTCTGTTTTCTTTTTTTTCTTTTTTTTTTTTCAAATTCAATGTATAACATGAATGCATAAATACCTCATTTTATTTCAGTGTAAAATTCTGTTTAAAGTAACATCATTAAAATGTCTCCGGACCTTTACCGGTTGATGATTTTCTTTGTTCAGAACCTGCTGATTTTTAATTGGTTACCCCTGGTCAGAGATGGCAAAAGTACTCACTTTCCGTACTTGAGTAAAAGTACAGATACTTGTGTTAAAAAATACTCTGGTAAAAGTGGAAGTACTGATTAAACTTCTTTACTCAAGTAAAAGTAACAAAGTACAGGCTTGTAAATTTACTTAAAGTATAAAAGTAAAAATAGAAACCACTTTTTTCATGCCGTTGCCTACATTTTAAATGGATGTCTGCCAATAGGACTAGATCTCCGTTGTGTTCATTTTCAATCATCTCGTCGTCCATGCACGTCTATGCTAACGCCACCGCCACCAAGCTGCAATGATTTGCCGCGAATGAATACCGCCGAATCTGTCGATTCATCCTGTAGTGGTGCTTCAAATGTAACGTAGATTCCCATCCAATTAGATTGAATTTGGTATTGATGACGTGAAAAATAATAACGGTAACTCCATTGAAATGATTCAAAACTAAAGTAATGAGCCAATTTTTTTAAATGTAAGGAGTAGAAAGTACAGATATTTGTGTAAAAATGTAAGGAGTAGAAGTAAAAAGTCGCCATAAAAATAAGTAGTAAAGTAAAAATATCAGAAAAATCTACTTGAGTACAGTAACGAAGTATTTGTACTTCGTTACTTCCCATCTCTGCCCCTGGTTTAATGTTAATGAATATTTATTTCACCTCATGTGCTCCATCCAATGCAGATCATTGGCGCCATCCACATGTAGTGAAAACTAGTATAATGGATGAGTCATATAACACACTCATTGGTTAGCTGAAGGAAATCATCAGAAGCAATCAGGTGTTCTTCAAACTGTGAACGAAAATTGTCTATGCCATGCTACAATGATGGATACAGGAAAAGATGTCGAAATGTCTGAAAGGTCGGACACAGGCGAGAGCGTATCGGGAGACGGAGACCAACAAGACCTCCCTCATCCTTGGCCCTATCTCAAAGAATTTTTCGAAATAGTCGAAAAATTGAGCTCTCAATTCATATAGTAGCATCTGGCATTTTTTTTAAAGGTTACTTTTTACTTTTATTCTTTAAGTAGTTTTTGGAGCACATACTTTTTCACTTTTACTTGAGTAAAGAGGTCAAGTTGATACTTTAACTTTTACCAGAATGTTTTTAAACTGCAGTATCTATACTTCTACTTAAGGAACAAATGTGTGTACTTATTGACACCACTGGTCCTGCTGCATGATTTTAATGCAAATCATATGAAATCTACATCATGTCTACAACATTTTAAATGACAGAAAACTAAATACTGTATAAAAAAGTAGCATTCACTGCTCAACTTACCTATGCTTTTTTCCAGCTGGAGAGCCAGTTCACGCTGGTTAATTTCTTGCAGAAGGTCTTTTGTGACCAGTAAAGCCTCTTGACCTCCATAATGACCAGTCAGTATCTGGGCGGTGTCCATAGGGTCTTTGCCTTCCAGTTTTCCACGAGGAATAAGTTTCCTTTTAGATTTTGTATATTCTGATAAATGGAAGTGGAAGTTTTTTAAGTCATCTTTCAGGAGGTCATCCAAGATGTTTTTAATCATTATGGTGGTCTGTGGTGATTGTGGCTGGGGATTGACCTGCAGAGGTAAGAAATACTCTTAAAACATTGTTAGCCTTTTTAACCAGAGTTTATAAGAATGTGTTTTAATTTCTCAAGGATAACAAATAAACTGCACACAATTAAAATAAAAAGGGCACACATAAACAGCACAATATAAGCTCAAACTTCTGTTAAATCAAACTGTCCACATAAGCCCCATTTACACTACCCTTGAAAAACCGATCCAGGCCGAGACCGGTCCGAGCTTGGATCGGTAACCAGGCCAAGCTCAGTTTTGACGACCGTTCACACGTCACACTTATCTCGGTTATCTCGACTCCTTGACTCCTCGCCTCCTAGTGACGATGTGTGGTATTACTGCTAGGATTGAAGGAGGGACTCAAGCAGCTGGTGGCGGTAATGCACCAAACGCTGTTTGTCAACCGCCGTAAAACCCAAGAAGAAGAAGACGAAGGAGGAGGGAATCAAGCAAATCAAAATGGCGGCGCCCGTCACATTCAGAAAGTTATGCTTGATTATTATTGCTGTACTTCCGTGTTTGCGGTGGGTCAGGCGAAGACGGCAACCTTGCGCGGATGTACTTGAGAAAGTCGGCTTTTGGGAAGCCGACTTTCTGGAATGGAGTGTGAATCACGATGTTCAGCCAGTCGGCGATGACGCGTTCTGCTCATGCGCTCTTGTTATCAGAGAACCGAGCCAGGAAAAAACCGAGCCGAACCCACCTCTGGAACTGGTCTGCAGTTAGCGCGGTCCGGTTATGTCTATCTCGGTTCAGTTCAGGTTGTTTCCGTTCACACACGACAAGTTATCTCAGTTACTGAGCTCGGACCGGTCTCGGCTCAGTTTTTTAAGGGTAGTGTAAACGGGGTAATAGTAATCAACACTGATCAACAATCAATTCCACATGCTGTTGTGCAAATGGAATAGACAATAGGAGGAAATTATTGGCAATTATTGCTGAGTGCTGGTGTGGTTGGCCCTGAGTTCTTCTTAATGCAGAACAATGCTAGACCTCATGTGGCTGGAGTGTGTCAGCAGTTCCTGAAAGATGAAGGCATTGAGTGTGTTCAATTTCAGAGGCTGTCTCCTCCAAGGACCCGGTTGGAGGTCAGTGAAAATAAGGAGCCTGGAAGAGTTTTGGCTATGGATTCAAACAGGTCAGCCTTCTCCAGCTTCCAACGCCTGTATGCTCTGTCGCCTAGCAACCGTGAAAGTTGCCACACAAAGCAGTTAAAGAATGGATACCAAACTTCTTATGAATGTTCTGGGTGCTAATAACATTTTCTAGAAGCTTCAACAGCAGCAGCGTCATCACGAATATCAGATTTACAGTCCCCACACTGCAGATATATTCGAATCTGTCCTTAAATTACAGCCAAACCCATTTACACAGTGACAGATAAAAACCTTTCAATCAACCAAACATTACCGCCACATATCTGACTCAATAACCATTTAAAACAACCATTTTCATTCATTTCAAATGGAACTGTTCACATACCTGTATTATGTTAAACTGCGCTTACAATATTCAACACTATTTGGAACCATTTCCCTTTTTCCTCTGAGCACGGCGCAGCCGGATTGCTTGGAGTAACAATGGATCACGGGATACCCAAGGCTATGTAGGATTCACCTTCACCATCATTTGTGCCGCTATCATTTTAAAGATATAAAGAGATGTTTCTAGAGGTAATCAAAGGTCAACCAGCCCCCCACCTTCTTCAAATCAGACGAAATGGGTGTCAATTAAGTCAGATCCGTTTGTGCTGGTTTGTGCAGCAAAAACAGATGTTAACTGACCTTTGATGACCCCTACAAAATATTATTAATATCATTAAAATGATAGCAGTACAGATGAAATTTTTTGCTGCACAAACCAGCACAAACATTTGACACAAATTTTGTCTGATTTGAAGAAGGTGGGGGGGCCAACTTCCCTCAGCTCTAAAACCTGGCTTCATTTGTTGGCCGCAAAACGAGGAGTCTTCCAATCCGAACAGGCCTCGGTGCCGTGCTATGAAGTAATCGGAGGACGCACCCACTGAATTCAAACTCAGCAATTGAAGCTATGGTCTGGCCTGCCTGTTCCCCAAATCTGAATCTTGAATATTATGTATAACTCCAAAATGCAGGCCTCCATTAATTAATTAATTAATAAACTAAGCTTTGTACAGAACAAAATAATCAATTACAATATTTCATTCATTCAGATCTAGGGTGCGTTACTGGAATGTTCCTTTTATTTTATTGAGCAGTGTACATTTTGTTTTTATATTTTTTTTTCCAGAAGCATAGGTCTATCAAGTCGGTTTTTGTCAAAAGGGTGTAGACACAATAAATCCAAGCAGTCTTATTTAATTAACATGCAAAAGAATGGGATGGACAGATGGGCGGAAGGATGGATCCTCAATCCTGTTCTTTAAGTTCCACCGTCCTCCATTTTACAGATTACTCTCTATTGCAACACACCAGATACCAACACGACCTTCTCAGATGACATTAAGTGCTGCAGAAGCATGTCAATCATTTATTCATATAAGTCAGGTATGAGGCAACAAGGAGACGCCTACAATACACAGAGCTGGGCTATTGAAGCAGCAGAGTCGAGAAACACTGCTATGGAGCTCTTTGCATGATGCATTTAGCTAAATGTGTAATAAAGTGTTTGAACTCTTACCACTGCAACTTTATGCTTTGGTCCAAAAGGTTCTGGTTCTGTTCTCTTCTCTTCTGTCTTGATTGAAGTTCTCTTGGAGGGACCTTGTGATCCAGTTTTTTCCTGTATGTCCTGTTTATTTTCTAGTGTATGAGGCAGGTTGCTCTCAAGTCCAACGCATGTATCTCCTTCTGCCTGGCCGACACTGGTCTGAGTGCTTGGTTGCAGCAATGGTTCTTGTTCGTTATTCAGCTTTTTCATTTGAGCTAGAATCTTCACAGCAGGACCACTTTTCACCTCGAGGTCCAGAAAGTCCTGCTTCATAAAGCAAATCAAGCAATCTCCAGAAACATCTTCATTCAGAAGTTGTTGTGCGTATTTGCTGTAAATCTTCACATGCTCCGTTAACCACTGGCTGACCTGATCCTTTGACCAGGATTCCACATACGCAGGATATTCTGACTGATGCTCCCTTCCTTCAGTCAAACTTTTCAGATAACATGCGATCTTTACAGCAGGACCATGTTTGATTCCTAAATCAAGAATGTCTTTCTTTTCAAAGGAGACCAAATACTCTCCTGACACCTCCTCTTCAATAAATCTGTCCGCACAACTCTGAGAAACTTTGACTTTTGTCATGAGCCAACGGTGGACATCTTCTCCTGTCCAGTCCTCAGTTCTTGGTTGGCTCATTTTGATTCACTTATGGGGAAAAACAAGAAAAAAAGAAACATGATAAAGAAAATTTTACATCAATATGCAGCTTTTTATATCTTTCCAGACTCACAGATATTATTGAACTAAAAAAACAAAGGAACATCTGGAAACAACAAGCAGTCTAGAACTGGGTTTGCTACAATATTCCTCCTGCTGAAATTAAGTCTGTTTTAAAATGGCCGACTATTCAGAGCTGCTCTCATTTAGCCGTTACCTGCTTTAATAATTAAGGAATCATTTAACCATAAAAATGGTTTTAAACCTTTTAAAAAACTTCTGCTTATTTTTAGTAAACACAGGCTGCTTAGTAGGAGTATCACTTTATCATTAAACATAATCATAAATTATTTTTTTAAAATGGCTATGAAACGAGGCAACATGTTTAGGATATTAAAGAGATCAGCTGAAAGAGACATGAGCTGTCATGCAATTTAATTCAGTTTATTGCTATAACTCACAACACGTCATCTCAAGGCATTTTAATCAGATCATTCGATCAGATCATACAGTCATATTGGTAACAAGTTTCTAATTAAGGAAAACCAGCTGATTGCATTGAGTTATAGACTTGCAGGACACACTCCTCCTGAATGAGCATGTGGCAACAGTAGATAGTTGCTTGCATTTTGTCATTGTCTCTATAGCAATCCCTTACTTTATTCCAACAACACTCACCAGGATGACGGTCTTCAGAGAGAAAGTTAGACAGACTGGATAAAGGTTCCTTTCTGCTGTAGCTGTACAGAGCTGCTGCCTCTCCCTGCCTGCAGCAGGCTCCTTCAAAGAAACAGAAACAGCTCAACATAACCTACAGGTTTTAATGTTTAGGGCATCAGCATTCAGGATTTGAGAGGGATAACGCTACAACAGCCTGAACCATGCCTGTTTGCATCAACATCTTAGGTTCTTCTATTTTAACATGACATGGTGTTGACTTTAATTCATTTTCTATCGATTGCTTTGGCTTTAACCCAAAAACACCACTTGCCCTTGTTTCCCCCACAGAAAAGAGGGTCATTACAACATATATAGGATAATGATCCCCACACTCCAACAAATGTTAGACTATAACCAAAAAATTAAGCCAAGAGCTCCAGGTTAATTACCTGTAGTTAACAAGGATGTACTAACGGACCTTTCTAACAAAACTCAGCTCACTTCCTCAAACATCATACAGTTATATAACAAAGCAAATAAGGCACTCAGTCTCCTTCTGCTGTATTAGCAGCAGTTGCAGCTTAAAACTGATCTATTTGATGAATGCAGTCATCAAAGTTTCCATGAAAAAAACAATTCTAGATAAAAACTTAGGCTCAGAAGTAATCATAACTCTGGGGTTACCTTCTTCCTGTTGAAAATCAAATGCCTGCCGCTGCTTTGTGTTGCTCTACAATGATATCAGGAAGATGTCTATGATCTTCTCTTTGAGGGTCCATCTTCAGCTGCACACCACTTTGCTAACAGAGTGTTTCATTTCAGATGAAATGAAAACAAAAATTTTAGATTTTGGCACCAACCTCCATAAAAAGCCGTCTGAACGAGAAGCTCCACCTTTGGGTTGTACCAGAATGCAAGGGCGTAGGTTTGAGTTCAACTTTGGTAGGGACACTATTCTAGAGTTTCATTGGTCCTTTGCAAAAATATGCATGCTCTTTTTTATGCTTAATGTGAGCTTCAGGGCTCATTTTGTTTAAAGAGATCAGCAGCATTTCTTGCTACATTAATACAAATCTTATAAACACTACATGCACTAGATGCTGTTTATCAATATTTAAAGCATAACTGGCTCTGATGAATGTGGAATTAGGACTTTTTCCACTTTGAAAAGGATTGCATTTAAATTTACCTGCGACTAAGACAGTGTCTGTTTAACCAAATATAGTCTAAATATGTGGATTTATCCTGTGTTTTCTTCTGAAGATAGAGAATTGTGCAGAGGTAAAACCCACTCTTATTTTTTTTTTTTATCTAATATGCTCTCTCTGGATCATGCAAAATAATACATTCAAGGGACGGAAAATAAATGTATTGTATTTACATGTGCACTGGAACTAGAAGAGGAACTGACACTGAGCATTTAAAGTATTAATATTAGAAGTTGTACATCTGGGCTGTAGTTACTCTGTGTAGCTAATTTCATGTATTTTATCTATGGCTGAAACAATTAATCACATTAACAAATTATTTAAATAATCGTGAACTAATTTAGTAATTGATTAATCGTAAACTGGAGTATAGGGCCACTAAAATGTGCCTTTAGCCGACAGAGCGACCCACTTAGAGCAGGAATTATACCAAGATTGTAAAAAATATGTAAGCATTTTCTCATTTAAGAAGTAAAAAAAAAAGTTTTTGTCTGTCAATATTCTCCATCCAGAACTCCTCCAAAGGAAACGTTTAAACGTTTCTGTTTCACCTGGTTTCATTTCATTAAAGATCTTCTTCTTTAAGGAGCCTTTGGCTATCTGATTAAAAGATAAAATAAAAGAAATCCTAACGTTGTTAACTTACATTTCTCAAGTTCCACGAATCAAAAAACTCTCTCCTGCTTCTTTACAGAACTCCAATCAGAAGCTTTTGCCTGTTTTATCGTAGATAATATAGTTTTTAATTTGGACTAGTTTCGTAGTCCAATATTAATTTATTTTAGCGTCTTTTTTTTCGCACTCCAAGCACCCGCGCGCGCGCACATACAGACTAGAAAACACGCAATCAGAAAGAGAGAAGGCGGAACTTAAGGCAGAATAATCAGAGAGTTAAACCGCGCAGCACAGTTGATGCGCTGCTATATGAAAGGGACAGGAAAGAGCAGGCAGCTGCAGCTACCAGGCAGAGAAGCTGAGAGAGGAAAGGAAGCCGCTGCTGTATAGTAAATTATAAACATGTTGTTCACATCCAATTATTGGTAGGGACAAATAGGTCCTTCCAAAATGTTGGTAGGGACATGTCCCTATGGTCCCAATGCAAACCTACGCCCATGCCAGAATGAGATCAAATTTCAAAACTTAAAGGCATACACATCCTGGATTGCATGAACATAAAGAACATCATAAACTTTAGATTGAAACTAGCTATTGATGTCTTCTATTAGCAGCTTTAGAAGCAAAAGCTGTTTAGTCACAAAACAGGGCAAAGGCAACACATCTTGAGATGTCGCCTTTAAATTACTGTAACCATCCAACAGTTTCTGGTTTCTGAAGACTGAGGGGATGGCCACAGTCTTACTCAGATTTTTTTCACTCTGGTTTGTCAGGAAATCCGAGAACCAGTCAGTCTTTTTCCTCCCACACATATGGGGTGGAGAAAAGCAGCAGATGAACAAAGACAGTTATTCAAAATATACAAAAACACATAGATATTCACTTGCATATTGTCGTCTTTGACTCTGCAGCAATCCCTCACACAGAGCATATATGCAGCAACAATGGAGAGGAAAAACTCCCTTTCAACAGGAAGAAAAATCCAGCAGAACCAGGCTCAATGAATTAGACTTAGACAGATTTATTTTGTCAATTTGTATACACAAGTGTAAACAAATAATTTTCATTTATAACAGCTCCAGACATTTTTTAAAGTGCAGCCTTGAAAACAGTAAGAAATACATAAAAAATAGTAATACAAATATATGACTGTATATTTACACTTTTTTTTCTTTTAAATAACCCATTTTACAAAACATTCAGCAGTCTAATGGCAGTGGGGAAGAAACTGTTATGGAATCTGCTGGACCTGCATCAGATGCTTCAAAGCCTCTTCCCAGAGGGCAGCAGGGAGAACAGTCCATGGTGGGGGTGTGAGGGGTCATTTATAATGTTACGGGCTCGGGACACACAGCGCTGGGATGAAATGTCTTTAATGGAGGGAAGAGTAGCCCTGATGATGACCTTCATTGCTATTCTCACCACTCTCTTCACTTTCTTCCAGTCTGAGGCGCTGCAGCCTCCACACCACACAGTGAGACAACTGGTCAGAACACTCTCTATGGTGCTTCTGTAGAAGGTGGTGAGGATGGGTGTGGGCAGGTGGGCTCTCCTCATTCTCCGCAAGAAGTATATACGCTTCTGTGCCCTTTTGACCACTGAGGTGGTGTTTACATTCCAGGTGAGGTTGTCTGTGATGTGCACCCCCAGGAATTTGGTGATGATGACCAGGGGTGCGTGGCTAGGCTGGTTCTTCCTAAAGTCCAAGATGATCTCCTGACATCGGTCCAGCAAGATGGTAAAAATGTCTGTGAGGACACCAGTCAGCTGATCTGCACACTCCTTATTCCCGCTCAGGTATGTTATCAGGTCCTGGGGCCTTCCTTGGGTTGACTCTCCTCAGAGTTTTTTAACACAACAGCTACGTCCAGGTTTAGTGCCTCCTCCCCCTGGTGTGGAACAGCTTTCACTGCTGGAGTGCTGTTTAGTGCCTCAAACCTTCCAAAGAAGTTGTTCATTTCATTTAGGAAGTCAGTGTTTGCTGCATCTACCGGGGGGAGGGTGTGTTGTATCCTCCTGGTGTTGCTGTCTTCATGGAAAATATCCTGAATTTTCTGGTTGTGGTTCTGCTCAATGCATTTGTTAATGTAGGTTGACACAGTCATGGCATTCTCATTAATAAGTTGAGATATGTTGTTGCAGCCTTGAAGATGTTCCAGTCAGAGCATTCAAAACAGTCTTGGAGTTTCTCCGCGGCGCCCTCAGATCACACTCGGAACTCTTTAACTGTTGGTTTAGCTCTGATCAGCTGGGGCTTATATGCAGGGATAAGCATGACCGAGAGATGATCTGATGACCCGAGGTGGGGGCGGGGGGCTGCTCTGAATGCATCTTTGATGTTAGAGTAAACCAGGTCTAAAGTGTTTTCACCCCGAGTAGCAAAGTCCACATGTTGGCAGAAATGGGGGAGAGCAGTCTTCAAGTTAGCCTGGTTAAAATCCCCAGCAATGAGGAAATCACCCACTCTCTGTGCAGATTGGAGGTCTGAGATAGCCTGGTATAGAGTCTTTATGGCCTCTTTTGTATTAGTGCTGGGGGGCACATAAACAGCAGTGATGCTAATCACGCTGAACTCTCTGGGCAGATAGAAATATTAAAACTACTTTTTACCCACAGATCACAGCATATATAGCTGCCATTGTTACAGGCAAAGAAAGGATAGGGAAGCTCCGCTTAACGTGCATCAGACTTCTTTCCCACCGTGCAGCTAGAGCAGCAAAAATGCTTCAGCCGCACGTCAGAACTAAACTTGTTCAAGCATCAAAAATGAAGCAGCACACGTGTTTTACTGCTCCTGCTGCTTTAGGTGTGACCATAGAATTAGGCAACATAAATCAATGTGATTATGACAAATCAAGTCATTAACTAACAGTCTTCTTGAAGAAATATCTTTTTCCCCAATTTGAGTTATTTTTGCTAGATTATCATGATTTACTCCTTAGGGATTCTTTTCTTATTTATTAGATTTTGGTTGTGGGCAAGACACTGTCTGGATGGAGTAATGAGTGGGTAACAGTAGAGAAGCTGCAGAGAGGTGTGTTAATGTTAGGATCCCAGTTTGTGGGGCTTGTTTATGCTCTTTTGCAGTTTCACCATGCAACCACTAGAAGGTGCCATTGTCCTCTGCTGGTCTGGAGGTTGTTCCTGTTCTTCTCACCTCACACCTGCCTATTGGGTCATCGGTCCCTGAGGAGTATTTAAGGAGCAGACTGTCTTCACTTCCTCGCCAGAGTGTTTGCCAGTATTGGGATTATCCAGATCCTCTGGATAAGCTGGCCCTTCAAGTCTGGAAGGGAAACACTCGTCACACTGAGAAAACAAGACAGATCTCATCTGAACACTGAGCCCTTCAGGAACCAAGAGACAGTCTGCTAAGTTGCTCCTCAGGTAGTCTGCCTGTCCGCCCTCAAATGAACCAAGCCATCTACAGACCAAGCCTCCACAAACGATATGTCATGAAACCTCCCCAACAACCACAGTGGCCCTGTTCGAACTCATGGGATGAGTTCTTAGAAGGCCAGATTCGAAGGACGATTACGTCATAGCGCGGCGCCGAGGTCTGGTCGGATTCCAAGACTCCTTGTTATGCAGCCTTAAAATGCGTCCTTCTTTTAGTCTTATTTGAAGGACGGGTCCGATGTATCCTCGGTATCCTTGGTTTACCCAGGATTCATTGTGAGACCAAGCAAGCCGTGATCAGAGGAAAGGTTACTTGGTGCCGAACAGTGGTGAAAATTGAAAGTGCAGTTTAATATAATACAAGTCAGTGAATAGTTCCGTCTGAAATGAATGAAAATAGTTGTTTTAATAGTTATTGAGTCAGATATGTGGCGGTAATGTTTGGTTTATCTAAAGGTTTTTATCTGTTACTGTGTAAATGGGTTTGGCTGTAATTTAAGGACAGGTTCTAATAGATCTGCAGGGTGGGGACTATAAATCTGATAGGAGTTTAATTT